CCTCTCCTCAGGCCAAGTCTTTTCCTCCCAAGGCTAAACTTCAACTAAACATGGAGTGGAGTGCTTTTAGCACATTTGTATTGCCACCCATGACTCAACATGCTCCTAACTGGTCAATGTTCTCTCAGAAGAGGACATTCCAGATACAGGCAGGCCTCGTTTTATTGTGCTTTGCTTTATCTGCTTCACAGATATTGTGGGGTTGTTGCCTTTTTTTTTTAACAAACTGAAGGTTTGTAGCAACCCTGCATTGAGCAAGTCTATCAGCACCATTTTTTCCAACAACATGTGCTCACATCATGTCTCTGTGCCACATTTTGCTAATTCTTGCAATGTTTCAAACTTTTTCATTATTATTATATCCACTATGGTGATCTTTGATGTTACTATTGTAATTATTTTGGGGCACCATGAGCCATAAGATGATGAATTTAACCCATAAATGTCGTGGGTGTTCTGACTCCTCCACCATCCAGACATTCCCCATCTTTCCTCCTCTCCTCAGGTCTTCCTATTCCCCAAAATGCGACAATATTGAAATTAGACCAATTAATAATCGTACAATACCGTTCAAGTGTTCAAGTGAAAGGAAGAGTCAATCCACAGGACAAACTTCATTGTCTTATTTTAAGAAATTGCCACAGCCACCCCAACCTTCAGCAACCGACACCCTGATTAGTCAGCAGCCATCAAGGCAAGACCCTCCACCAGCAAAAATATTAGGGCTTTCTTAAGGCCCAGACGATGATTAGCATTTTTTAGTAATGAAGCATTTTTAATAAAGGTGTGCACATTGTTTTTTAAATATGATACTATTACACACTTAATTGACTACAGTATAGTATAAACATAACTTATATGTACTGAGAAAGCAAAAAATTCATGTGACTTGCTTTATTGTGATATTTTCTTTATTGAGGTGGTCTGGAACTGAACTCACAATATCTCTGAGGTGTGCCTGTATCAAGTCCATGATTGTGCAGGAGAATCATAATCTCCCTGCTTCTAGAGATTATACTGATTGTTATGCCTTAGTTATTTTCAATATCATATCACTTTGTTAATTTAAACTGAACTTCCAGCCTACTGAAGCCCTCAGATTTTTTTTTCATTTTCACTATTGTTTTGCTGCATTTCTGCTATCCTATAGATATGTACGATTGATTTTTTGAGCCTATGAATACAACTTTACATTTATTCCTGATAAACTTTTATCATACTAAATTTATTACAGACTTTTAGAGATTTAATTTTTTTATGCCAGAGACCTGCTTAGCAATATAGTGAAACTTATGCACCTCTTCTCAAAATATTTTTAAATGCACAAAATAAAATACATATAATTTCAAAGAAAATCAATTATATTGAACTATTTTCTCTGTCTGTCTGTCTGTCTGTCTATCTATCTATCTATCTATCTGTCTGTCTGTCTGTCTGTCTATCTCTATCAGTTCATGGACCCATGTTAAGAACTTCTTTTCTACAGTCAGAAAATCCTGCCTCTGACATTTACTGCTATGACCATCAGCAAATCTGTTGACATCCCCTAGTTTCATTTTTTCCATCTGCAAAATGGAGACAATAATAACTACTGTACCTACCCAAGAGGCTAGTTGTGACAATCAAATGAGTTCATATGTAGAAAGCATTTTGCAAACTTTTTAAAAAGTTATTTGAATTCAAGCAATTATTATAATTTCTAGAATTTGGACAGGTATTAGAGTTAATTAACCCCATAGCCAATAGTTTGGAGCACCTATCTTTTCCTCTATTTGGGAAATCAAGATATTTGCTAATCTTGTTACCACCCATTTTTTTATTCAAAGATCAATGAAAAAAATGACAACCATCAGTTTTTTTTTTTAAAGAACACTGGAACATAATTTGTGAGGGCTTGGTGATTGGATCTCAAAGGACAGCTAGGCACTCTCATTTCATCTCCTCATTTATCTTAGACCAATCACTTAAGCTTTTACAGCCTCAACCGTTACCTGTAAAATGGGGATAATAATAAGTGTACTACCTACCTCTCAAGGTCATTGGACGGAAGGTCCTTTGTAAAACTTAAATCACTATAGAAATATGAGTATGATTAATACTATATTGGATTTCAACCGCCTAATAACCATTTTTGGTCTATACTTCCTAACTTGAATATCATTCTCCTTAAGAGTGCAAACAGGAAAAAAATTCATTATTTCTGCTTTCTTTTCATCCTCCCATCTACCTCCGAGTAATGGTTCTACTTATAAATATGACATCATTATAAATACATGGAAAGAAACTGTAAGGGCAGAGGAAAAATCCATAAAAAGAGAATTTAAGGAGAGAGAAGATGTTCTGCTCATACTTACTTATAATTATAGCTAACGTTTCTGTAGCACTTTAAGGTTTGCCAAGGGCTTTATTAATATCACTTCTTTTGATTCTTACAACAACCTTGTGAGATTGTTCCAACTCTTCCTGACCCCATTTGGGGTTTTCCTGGCAAAGATATTGGAGTGGTTTGCCATGTCCTCTTCCAGCTCATTTTACAGATGAGGAAACTGAGGCAAACAGTGTTAAGTGACATATCCAGGGTCACACAGCTATTAAGTGTCTGAGGCCAGATGCAAACTCAGGAAGACTCATTTTCCTGAAAAACAGTCCTGGCACTCTGTCCACTGTGCCACCTAGCTGCCCCACCCTGTGAGATAGGTGCTGTTATCTTCACTTTCCGATAAAGGAACTGAGGCATACAGAAGTTAAGTGGCTTGCTCCGGGTCACACTGACACTAGATGTCTCAGGGAGGATTTTAACTCAAGCCTTTTTGACTCCGAATCAAATGTTCCATCCACTATGCCACCTAACTGCCTATTTCCTTCCTCTTTCCATACACATATCTATCATTTTGGGAGAAAGGGAAGAGAAGTGATGGTAACTTGAGAATGATTTATACCCACTGAGAAGTGAGAAAATATCATTACTACTAGTGAAATAGAAACCATGGGGATAATTTTGCTTCATTACTCCCCTAGAATCAGTTACAGTTATGTGTGTTTTCAAAAATATCATTTGTAACTGAGGTAGATATTTTTTAAAATATGGTATGATTTAAGGCTATATTATTTAAAATTGCCTGATAGACTAATACAGAGAATTTTAGAGTTGGAAGGGATCACCATTTTGTGCAAATGGGCCATTTTATAGATAAAGAAAACCAAGACCTAAGAGGTTAAATGACTTGTCCAAAGTCACACAGCTGACCGAGCTGGACCTCAAACCCAGGTCTCCGGGATTGTTGTCCAGGAGGCCATTGCTCTTCCCAATATAATACATCTTGTTGCCAACCCTCTGGTGAAACATACTGCAAAGACACTGTTAAAATCATAGAGGATCCCTAGAATGTTGGAGTGGAAGGAGACCTAAGCAGTCATTTAGCGGTCTACCCCTACCATTCAAGTGCCAGATGAGGAAACAAATGACTTTCTCAGTCTGCCCTCATCTTAAAGCTGGTGTGTTGTTATATATAGCAACTGAAGGATGTGGAGAAGAATAGATTGACATGCAATTTAATTCTTAGGGAAGATTTGAAATCTTAGCCTGTAGGTCTCCCTAAGCATTATGAATATTCTACTGACTCTTGGCTGTATTAAATTTGAGCAAAATTTTTGAGCCTGAAAAAGTTATTAAAGTTTAAATTTGACTGAAAAGACAATGTACCATTTTATGAATTTGGCTGAGAGAGTTTGACTCCAGAAAAATATTAAATGAAGTTTGTGACTACTTAATTCCACATTCCAAGGCATGTACCTAGATTATATGTGTGTCAGTGATAGGCCCATTTGAAGCAGCTAAAAGAAATTAATTTAAAAGCAGATAATGTCAAAGCTGGCAGGGGCTTAAAATGTAGGCCATCAGAATTGGAACTCAATTGAATTCAGCTAACATTTATTAAGGGGCTGTCTGCAAACCATGCAGCCTCCTCTGTGGCCATTGTCTTCATTGTCCTTATTCCCCTTCCATTGAATTTTGGACTCTGTCTTGGGATGCTGGATTATGCTAAGGGAGCTTTCACTTCGTCTTATCTGGACCCAGGCCTCCACATCACTTCTTGGCTATTTCCAAACCATGCCGTTGTTCTTTCTACCTCTTCTTTATGGGTAGTCTTTGACCATTAGAATATATTGTCTTTGATGATCTTTGAGGAAAGAAATGCTTTGCTTTCTTGCATTTGAATTTCTAGTGCTCAGCATATACCCATGACATATGATAAGCCTTAATTAATGCCTTATCAATCACTCAATCAATAACTCTATACTAAGCACTGATGATTAAAAAAATAAAAAAAAATACAGTCTCTTTCCTCAAAGTTTATAATCCATTTTTGGGGAAGGAAGCATACAGACCAGTCACATAATAATACATGGTTGATATTCAGGTGTAGGGCTGCAGAAATAACAGAGGAAGGAGAGAAAGCTTTTGCGTGGAAGGAACCTAAACACAGGCTAGAATGTTAAGAGACTGAAGGGGGCTCAACATAATTTGAACCTTTTGTTTTAGAGATAAGAAAACTGAGGTCCAGTTTCTTTCCAATGTCAAAATGGGGAGTGAAAAAACAGAATCATAGCTCTGGAATTGGAAAGCACCCCAGAAGCCATCTAGTCTAACCCCCTCATTTTATCGATGAGGAACTGCCCAGGGAGGCTGTGACTTATTCAAGGTCCTACGAGTAACAGTCATCAGGGGTGGGATTCGAATCCTGAACCTCTAATTCCAGAGGCAGTTCTCTTTCCACTATAACATACGAAGTAGGGGTTTTCTCTCTGTATCTAACCTTTAGTACAGATCACTCTCCTCTTGTTATGAGATGAGCGATTTGGAAAGATTGATTACCTTTCTCCTAACCAATTTCATCATTATATAGAAGGTCATCATTTCTCCTCATCCCCTTTTCTTAGAGGTGCAGAGAGCCTCAGGAAAAAAGTGGAAGGAAAACAGCTACCGCCATAGAACATACCACAATGTATGGGAAAAGGAGCCCCAGCGTAAAATTGGACAGCCAGTTGACGGTCCCTGCGATCATGAAGGCAGCTGGCCACTGAGACTGCTGGAAAAACTCTCCGGTCAAGATGAATGGGATTCCACCTGAAATGGACCAGTCAAGATGCTGAATTAATAAAAGCTTAATTAATTAAGTAATTATATGATTAAAATAATATTATAATATAATATAAGAAACATTATATTTATATATAATATATTATATATAATAAACACAATATAATAATATAATATAATTAATTATAAAAATTAATAAAAAGGTTGATATTCCTCCAGCATCAACATTTAAATGTCAGTCTTGGGCAAATATTCACAACATACATAGGATCCTCTTATGACAAGAATTAGGTCTTCATGTTTTAGTGAAAAGGGGATGCTTGGATCGAACACTCTGAATTCCTGCTCCTTTAAATAACATTTACATCTTGAATGTTTAAACAGTGCCCTGGCATGTTCATCACAAATTTCATTGCCATCCAAACAAAATTCCCAGTGCTCCCTGATGTACTGTGGATCCTGCCTGGAATGTCACTAAATAGAGTAATAGATATTAAAAACTTGACTGAAGTTTTATTGTGGCAAATGCATTTGGGAGCTAGGTTCAGTGGAAGGAGGCCAGGACTGAGAGATAGGAGACTTGGACTGGAGTCTGTGCCCTGCCAGCGATGAGCTACATGGTCTTAAACATCCCACAGAGCATCTTTGGGGACAGGCTCCTTGTCTGCAGAAGTTAGGGGAGCAGATTGTCTCTGAGGTCCCTATCAACTCTCTCGTTCTGTTATCTTGTAGTAGGATTCACTGCCTCCTCAATGACAATATGCTTTATTTGGCCTCTCAAGGGTTAGGTTAAAGCAAATACCTGGATTTGGAATTTCTAGAAATACAATCACAAGCTTTATTGTTACGGGGTGCAGCAATCAGGCAAACAAAGAAAATACATATACTATGGCAACATAAATGGATAGAGGTTTATCCCCACACAAAAGAAACTCGCCACAGTCTGAGGACGAAGGAGATGTGTTGGGGAGGAAACCCACTCATAACTGGTAGGAGGGTCCAACATTAACTAAGGCAGAAGGAGAACAGCTTGTAAGCAGGTCAAGAGCTCATCCAATCAAAAAGCTGCAAGCATCATCAGCCTAACAGAGAGTTAACAATGGAAAAGTACAACATGTCTATTTTGCCTATATATTTCTATAGGCATTAGGACCTCTTAGACTAAGTGACTCCATATTGGAATCCTCTCATTATAAATATGATATCAAACAATTGTTATAACATCAAAATGTAAAGTTTATAATGATCACTCATTCAAAAAGGAGAGTAGAATCATTGATTTGGAAATGGAAAGGACCTAAGAGGTCATCTAACCCCTTCACTTACAGATGAGAAAAGTAAAGACCAGAGAAATTAAGTGATTTGCTAAAGGTGGACAAATTGGTATGATGTGGGAGAGCTGGATTTGAACTCAAGCCCCAGATCTTACTCCAGATTCAGAGGTCCTCTCTTCCATACCATGCTATAACCCATGATAAAGAAGATTTTCATCTATATTTCAACTAACAAATATTTTAAGGACCAAATAAATATACGTGCATCAGCACATGCAGAGCTAATTATAGATGGCATGCATCAACATGGTTTCTTTAAGTGGTAAATATAGAAGTTAGATAGATAAAGCATTCATACTAGTGATTAAGATATTCTGGAAAAATAGGTAAAAATCTCACCAATAAATGAAGCTTATGATTAATTTAGGGCAGCTAGGTGGCACAGTGGAAAGAATACTGGGCCTGGAGTCAGGAAGACTGATCTTTATGAGTTCAAATCCAGCCTCAGACACTTACTAACTGTGATCCTGGGCAAGTTACTTAATCCTGTTTGCCTCAGTTTCCTCATCTGTAAAATAATCCAGAGAAGGAAATTGTAAACCACTCTAGTATGTTTTCAAGAAAGCCCCAAAAAGGTGTACCCACAAAAATCATTCCACTATTCGATATGAATTTATCAAACGTAAAACAATTCTCTGTTGTTGAGTTGTTTCAATCTTATCCAAGTTTTCATGACTCCATCGGGGGTTTTCTTGGCAAAGATAGTGGGATGGTTTGCCATTTCCTTCTTCAGCTCATTTACATACAGATGAGGAAACTGAGGCAAACAGGATTAAATGATTTGCCCAGGGTCACTCAGATAGTAAGTGTCTGAGGCTGGTTGATCACAAGTCGTCCTGACTCCAGGCTAGCATTCCATCTACTGTACCACCTAGCTGCCCAAGAAAACAATCCTCTCCTATGTGCTTATTTTTTAGATGAGGGAACTGAATCTCAAAGGAGTTACAACACTTCCCATGGTTACAAAACTCTTAAGTGTTAGAAATGGGATTTGAACCAATGCTCTTCTGGATCAATTTCAGATTTGAAAAGCTCCTTGTAGGTACATTGGAAAGAATATTCGAATTCACTACATCTGCTGGGTTCATGTCCTCAGTTTTCTATAACCATGTTGCCTGGGCTGACTGCCAGGTTGTTTATCTCTAGGATAAAGAGCTTGGGCTAAATAATCTTTAATTTTCCTTCCAACTCTTAGACTTCTTTGAAGCCAGGCCAGGTAATGCCACCTTTCACCCAATACAGGAATCGCTCCTGAGATATCGCTGATGCTTGGCTTCTGCTTGGATATTTTTAGTGACAAAAAACTTGTTAATTTGTGAAAGAGCCAGTTCTATTGTTGGACAGCTCTAACTGCAAGGAAGTTCTACCCTATGATTCAAAATCTGCCTCCTTGTAATGTTTACCCATTTTTCTAATCCCAATCTTTAGAAAAACAAAAAAGCAAATCTATTCTTTTTCCATACAAGAGCTCTTTAAATATTCAATGGATATATTTCTCTTTAGTCTTCTGCACACTGAACTGTACACAATGCCTTCAAATGATCTATAATTAGCATGAATTTATCAAGTACCTCTTATGTTCCAGGTACTACGGTAGGTATGGGATACAAAGAAAAAATTAAATAATCCTTACTCTCAAAGAGTTGTTGTTTACTTCTATCAGACTCGTGACTCCATTTGGAGTTTTCTTGGGAAAGATACTGAAGTGGTTTGCCATTTCCATCTCCAGCTCACTTTACAGATGAAGAAACTGAGACAAACAGGGTTCAGTGACTTGCCCAGGGTCACACAGCTAGTAAGTATCTGAAGTCTGATTTGGACTCTGGTATTCCTGACTCCAGCCCCAGCACTCTATCCACTGCCCCACCTAGCTGCTACTCTCAATGAGCTTGATTCTGTATTCATATGAGAGTTTCAAGTCCCCTCACCATCGTCATTGCCCTTCTTTGGACACACTCTGTCCTTCCTAAAATGGGATGCTATACAGCAGAAGTGGTCTCATTAGGTTTCTGTCCTCTGCATGATGCAGCCAATACTTCCCTTGTTCTGGACAGTAAAATAGGGATGCCATAGGTACTAGACCTATGATTTCATTGATATAGAAAGCTCCTAGATGAGGACACTCCAATGGAGGATGGCATTTTTTCTGTAACTTTTAATCTTTCATAAAAAAAAGAACTGCTTAGCACACTAAGAGATTAAGTGACCTGTCCAGGGACACACAGATGTGTGATCCTATAGAGACCAGAGTCAGGACCTGAACCCAGGTCTTCCTGACTCCAAGGCCAGTTCCCTATCTACTATGCCATGAATACTTCTGTGTCCATTCTGGACATTGTGCTTTTCTTAATGCAAATTAAAATGATATTAGCTTTATTTTTCCCTGAGGCTATATCATGCTGAGGTCTGTTAAGTAAATTGAGGTCACTGTTAAATAAAACCCCAAGATTTTTCCATGTGAACTTCTTCTAAGCCCCAAATCCTCATGTTGTGCGTGACATTGATTTTTTAAAAAAATGTAAACATGCTTTCCACCCTCATGCCTTTGGTCGGGCTGTTACCTGTGCCTAGAATGCCCATGCTCTCCCACTGTACCTATTGAATTTATTCCCATCCATTAAGGCCCTACTCAGAGTTTACCTTCTTCATCAAGCCCTGTAGAATATCCCTGGTACACTTTTCTCTAAGACTACCCATTGTTAGCGACTCTTTAATCCACTTATATAATATATAATATTGAATAGCTTTGTACCTTTTTCGCCTACTTACTATAAGCTCTATCAAGTCAGGGAATAGGACTTCTCTAAAATTTATTAACTAGCTTTGTCAAAATGGGCTTTATTAAAAATTCATTTCAAACCTTCCCTTCTCCAGGAATCCTCTCCTACTTTACTACCGTCATATCCCCCATGACTGGTAATTCTCTCTACCACCTGCTCATCCCCCTGATCCGGTTTCCAAAAACAAAAACCCAACATCCACACCCACGCACCCCCTCCACAAAATCAAAATACAGGGACTGTTCCATTAACCCAAGGTACCTGTTAGGTCAGTTTGTCCTGAGAACTTCTGGGGATTGTAGAAATACTTTATCTATGAAGATAGTGTGATGGGGTGAGACTCACACTCACACTCACACACACACACACACACACACACACACACACACACACACACACACACACACCCAGCTGGAAGTCTGGAGCCATGGATTGTAATCCTGACTGCTACTAACTTGTTGGGCAAGTCACTACACTTGACCTATCTCCAGGTTGTCATCTGTAAGTGAGGGCGGTATTGCATTAGGTGAGATCTTTTCTGGCGCTAGCTTTCTGTGTTTTAAGGCTGATTCCATCTCTGGCAGATGGCTTTAAGAACTTTCTCAGCTCTGTCATTCTAAAATTCTATGAGCTTGGTTATTCCTACTACTAGATGTGTGATGAAACTGACGTGACGAGAAGTCAAATGATTTCAAATGAAATCCCAGGGCCTTGCAATTTGTGATAGAAATTACCTTGCTGGCTGCCCGTCCCCATGCACATTAATTGATTACTGAGCCACTGTGATGCCATTCATTGCATTAAATTAGATATCTAGAATGAGATAGGCAGAGCATCTTCTCCTTCCAGAGTGTGGTCCACTAAATAATTCTCCTGGTGCCAGGGGGCAACATTAGTGGATGGGCCCCACGCA